AGTGACTTTTTACAATTCATAATTTATTATGTGCATGATTGCAAGAAAATTTTGTATTATATTTGAACTTGGGAGCAAAAGCACTGAGAAGACTGCATGCAGTACTTCACCTAGACACTTCTTACTTTACTCAGAATGACTCTTTTTTTTATTCTTTACTCTCAACACATGTCTCACTTGAAACACATTTAAAATACCTAATTGCGTTAAAATGATGACCTGAATGAATAAAGTAGTTACTATCTGAATAGTTAATTATTTTCTTAATCATTAATCTTATATTATTAATAGCTTTTAAATGTTTAAAACTACTTTTAATTAACAAGAAAGTTTTTATTTATTATTTTATTTTTTATATGTGTTCGCAATTAAGATAAAGTATTATAATTATGCACAAATTGATTAGATAAAATGCAAAATATGTTATATATCCTAATTCTCTGCAAGAAAACTTTCAAAAGGATTTTTTCAATTTTAGAACAATAATATTTTGTTTCAGTAATATTTTTGTTTCTAGTAATATGTCCTAGCTTTGATGATCATATTAAAAATCATCTTAATTTTCCTGCTACTTGTAATATGTAATCCCGTACATCCTACCTTATTTCCTACTGCCATGTATTGTATCCCAAGATTTGTTTTTCTCAGAAGAGTTTAGGAGAAGTTAACTTTAAGTTTAAGTACCTTTTGTTGATCTTGAATGAGTAAAGGCTAGTTATGATGTCACAAATAAAAAACTCATTATCGGCAGATGTTAAATGCATCTGGCCTAAGCAATAATTAAAAAAACTATCAATAAAATTTCTAAATTTATTTTTTTTTTTTCTAATAAATAAGCACTTTAAGTGTTTGTTTTAGTAATTTTTTATTTAGAAGTATTTTTAAAAAATAAACTTTTTTTTTTAAGCTTTTTGAACATTCTCGAAGAACAATAATCAACAGTGCATCTACCTTCTTTATCACAAATTTAGATCATGTTCGACAACATGTTGATCAGGTTAAGCATCATGTTGTACCAACTTTAGCAGACATCGGACAATTAGTGTGGGATGATATAAATGTTTTTGTTAATGATGAAGATGATACATCTTCAGATGAGGAAGTCAATTTTAAAGTAATTTTTTTTTTCTGTCATCATAATTTTATTATTAAAAAATATACTTTAGTATTCAATTTACTTTTTATGATTATTTTTTAAAATTTAAAACAAAAAATAGATAAAAGTAATAATTTTCATTTTCTGTTTTAGTTAAAATTGTATTAAAGAAATGATAATTTTTGTTCACTTTAAAATTTTAACTTGTAATTTTGACAAATAAAATATAAATTATTAACAGCAGGTAGTTAAATAAAAATAAAACAAAAAAACAAAACATATAGTTAAATAAAAATAAAACAAAAAACAAAACAGACAGTTAAATAAAAATAAAACAAAAAACAAAACAGATAGTTATATTGAATGCTATATTGGTTTATCATCTAAAGACATAAGTTGTTAAACAATATAGGATAAATAAAAAGTTGTTGAACATTATAGGAGAAATAAAAAAAACATCTTTACAAACATGTAAGAAAGTTGTTTTTATAATTTTTTTTTTCAATTTTTAAAAATTATGCTTAATCTACATATAACAAACATTTACTTGTTTTTTGATGATATGACTATATGTTATGAAGCTAAACATTTCTAAATTTAAAATATTTTAAATAAAAAATAGATATAAGTTGGTACCTCATATTTTAAAAACACTCCAGTTAAGAGTGGAATACCACAAGGAGCTGTACTAGGACCTATATTGTTCTTAATATTTGTTAACAACATAGTTTCTTGCACTGATGGAGATAGTGGCATTAAGCTGTTTGCAGATGATATTATATTGTATCAATCAAGAAATGATTACAACATCATTGATCTTGTAAACACTTTAAAAAAAATCTTGGCATGGTCCAATGATTGGCAACTAAAAATAGCAACCAACAAATGTTTTCATTTATGCTACGGAAGATATAATATACCTACTCATCATTATTCATTAAACTCTGTTATCAATATTGAAACTGTTCATTTAATTCAGGATATTGGAATCACCATTTTCTTTGATACGAAGTTCTTTAATCACTGCTCTCGTATTTCAAGCATAGCATTTACTTATTTTAAACTCCTTCAATATTCATAAAATAGCATTTACTTACTTTGAAAATCCTTCATCTCTAACAATTCTCAACTTATGTTAAAAGCTTACAAAGTTTATGTGTGGCTTGAATTAGAATCTTGCACCCCAGTTTGGAACCCTCATCTTTTAAAAGATATAATTTGCATAGAAAAAGTTCAAAAATATTTTAACAGAATTGTCTGCAAAAAATGTCATATTATATACACTGATTACTTATCAAGACTTATTGTTTTCCAACAATAATGAATGTCTTGAGTATCGCAGAGTTAAATTTGATCTTTATATGACTTATAAAATTGTACATAATCTCGTTGATTTACCAATTCCAGATTTTTTTACTTTTTCCAATTTGAAATGTTTTACTAGCAGTCATTCACAAAAGTTTACACCATGTAATAATTACATTAATGATACTAGAAGATTTTTTTATAACAAAAAAGTTATTAAAGTATGGAACTCACTTCCTGACCACATAGTAAACTCGGCCTCACTCACTCAGCATTCAAATCGAATTTAAAAAAGTATGATTTAAATTGTGATGCAATCTACTAACTTGGTTTTTTTACATAAACTCATATTGAATTTTCTTTTTTTTTTTTTGGTACTACATAAAAGTTATTTAGTAATTACCTGTCTATCTATTTTGTATTTTGTACATTTTTCAAATACAAATAAATAAATAAATAAATAAATAAATAACAATAATAATAATAATAATAATAGTAATAATAGTCATAATAATAATAATTATAAAATTTTTAATATTTAATTTTAATATTTTTAATATTATTTTTTAAATTTTTTTAAATTTTAATTTTAAAATAAAGTTTAAGACACACCCACGCAAACACACACTTATATGCATATATATATATATATATATATATATATATATATATATATATATATATATATATATATATATATATATATATATATATACATATATATATACATATATATATATATATATATATATATATATATATATATATATATATATATATATATGTATATATATATATATATATATATATATATATATATATATATATATATATATATATATATATATATATATATGTATATATATATATATATGTTTAAAGGCATTGTTAACCAGATTTAGTAGAACAATTATGATTTTATTAGGATGCTCCTTCAAAACCTGCTATTAGTAATGAAGATCCAAATAAGTTATCTGCTCTAGAAGATGAACTTGCCAAATTGAGAGCTCAAATAGCTGCTATAGTGTCTAATAGAAATGGTTAGTGTGATTAAAGAATTGGTCAATGTTATAATAATATTATACCAACAAATGAGTATTTTTCCTGGTTTTTGGTATTCAGGAGCTCTTTTTATTAAAAAATTAATAAAATTCTTTATTAGTCAAAACTTTTAAGTTAGAGGAACAATCAAGTTTTGAACTCGGAGTTCTATTGTTTAACGGCAAAAAAATTTCTGAGCAGGAGACTCCAGGTCTGAGGACTGCGAGTCTGTTGGCTAAAAAACAATAGATTCTAAGTCATTAAATCTCATGATATTTTTTTTATTGCAGATTATAAGTCTCTTGACACTCTTGTAGCTCCAGAATGCCAGAAACCTAGAAAATATAGAGATTTAAAGCCAGAGTCCTTTTGGGACTCCACATCTCTCATTGTAATATTAGTATTATACAATAAATTATTTGTTCAGTATTATATAAAAAAGTTTTTGATTCATTTAATTTCATTAAAGATTTTAAGGAGTTTTCTTTTTTCTTATTATTAGTCCCTAATCCTGCTGCACCATCTGCTCAAATTGCAGTTGTTCAACCGACAAGTATGTTACCTCCACCACCGCCTCCTCCACCTCCTCTGCCTATTTTTAAAAATGCAAATGCATCTGCAGTGAGTATATAATTGAATTTTTGTTTTAGTTATAATTAGTGACTGACACAGATTTCTGCTTTAGCTATGTTTGGCCATTTAAAAACTTACCTAGGGTGAATTAGCTGGGTTAAAATTATAGGAAAAGCTGGGCTAACTTGAACTATTTTTTATGAATTTTGTTAGAAGTGTTGTATTATTTTGGTATCAAAAAGGTTTTCTAAATTTAAAAAGAATTTTTGCTTTAGGTGTCTATAAAATTTTTTTTGTGAAAGGATAAGGCATTTAATCGTTTTTTTTATAAAACTTTTAATTTTGTTTATGCTTTGTTTTATTTTCTTTCTAGTAAATCAGGGCTTGTGATGAAGAAAATCGTCAAGCGTGTTATATCGCGCTCGTAAAGTTAGAATATGTTTTAATCTAGCGTGATTATTTGTGATCGAGATAACGTCGGCGAGCGTGATCATGAAAATTGCTGAAGACGATGCTCATAAAAAGCTTTTTATTTTTTATATCTTTTTTTATTTGTTACATCATTCTCTCATCAACAAATGTTTGAATTAGTATCACGCTTATAAAACTACTTCAAGGAAGTAGATTTTTATACTTCCAAACTTCTTGCATATTGTTTGCGTCAGATCGCGATTTTTTCTTTTATTTTTTATGGTAAAAAAAATATTATCAACCAAAAACGCTACTTCTTATTGATTTAGTATTGAAGTATAATTTAGTGACTTTTTATTGATTTAGTATTGAAATATAATTTTAGTTTTTTGCTTACATTGTTTTGATATATGTATTTCAAAATGTTACGCTGTAAACCTAATTAACAGTTAGTGGTTTTTATATTTCTTGATATTTTTTATTCAAATTAATTATTATTTATTTTTTTCTAAAATTTCTTATTTAAATTATGTTTTTTTTATATCTTAAAAAAATAACGCAAATAATTTGAAAATCTTCTTTTTTAAAACTATTCGTTATAAGTTAAGCACTGTCTATTTCATCATCGTCATCAAGAAGTTGATTTGTAATCAATGTTGTTGCTGTTGTCATTTAGTCAACTGGATTATCATCAAATTGAACCACTCGTCTCTTATATAAATAAATTTCTTTTGCTCGCTTTTCAATCAGGATTATTTCTTCCATCGATAAACTGTAAAGCATATTGTTGTATCAAACCTTTACAACCTTGTAATACCGCTTCTCTAATTCTTATACAAACTTTGCAGTAAATTTCAATAACGTATGTAGTTCCGTTAGTAATTTCAGTTCTAAAGGCTATTACCACTTCAACTTTTCATTTAATAAATGTTGACTTAATTACTTTGCACCTAGAATGTTCGAAAATACCGTTTACGGGCGCGTTTTACGAGCAGAGCGCGCTCGCTTCCCCGATCACAACCCCTGTAAATTATATATAAATAAGCTTTGAAATTACATGTTAAAAAGTGAAAGTTGAAGAAAGAAGTATGCATCTGATGAATGCATCACACGATACTTGTATCAAAGGTATCAGATATACTGGTATTATTTTGGTATCAATGGTATCATTTATTCTCAATTATATATGTGAGAATTATATAGTTGATTAAATATAAAGACATAAGTTATTGAACATATATATATATATATATATAAATATATATATATATATATATATATATATATATATATATATATATATATATATATATATATATATATATGTATATATTTATATATATATAGGGTTATATAAATTGTTTTAAGTATTTAAACATTTAACTACTAATTATTTAAAACATTAATAACTACAAAAATTAGATTAACTAAAATATAGTTAATGAATGTTTAAAATACTTTAAACAATTTTCAATAATTATTTACAAATAGCGTGATAATTGCAACAAAAGCAATAATTAAATTCTTAAATAAAATAGTTTTTTTAACGTAAAATAGCAAGCTAAAGGTCAAATGTTCATTCATTGAAAAATTAAATTTGCATCATAAATTTGTTTTTAAAACAGATATTTTTTGCTTTTTTCATTTATTATCAAAAGCAGTTCGCTCTTTATTACTAACAAACAAAACTTTTTATACATTCCCTGATATATAATAATAATAATAATAATAATAATAATATATATATATATATATATATATATATATATATATATATATATATATATATATATATATATATATATATATATATATATATATATATATATATATATATATATATATATATATATATATATATATATATATATATATATATATATATATATAAATATATATATATATATATATATATATATGAAACTAATTATTTTGGAATAATTATTTATTTATTTAGTTGAAAATATGTTCTATTAATGACACAATAGCTACTGAAATAAAATATTTGTTGTTGTTATTTTTGTTTTATTTCAAAATGCTTTCTATCCAAATATTATTTATTAACAAAACACTTTATATCCATTTTAATTTATTTCTTTATAAATTAAATTATTATTTATAATAATTTAATTTATATTTAATTTTGTAATAATTCATTAATTATTTAAAATTTTTTTAAAACAACTCGCAGTAACAAAAGCGTTTAAAATGATAGTTTATGACTCTTGTCATAAATTCTTTTGATTTAATGATATAAATTTAATTAAAATACAAAATACAACAGTTTATGCTGAAAAAAAAGCTTCTCTAATTTAATAATTATACATCAAATAATGCACACTAAAATAATTCACTGCTAAAAAATATAAATGAAGTTATGAATTATCTTCCTAACTAAAGTTATCTTCTGTAGAATTATAGAGTAGTGTTTTAACATGGCAAGTATTCTGTCTGCTAGTTCTACTTGACAAAGGAGACAAAAAATATCTTCTTTTTTAGCGAGCTTAACACAGTTCTTTAATTCTAAAGATTTTGGTTAGAAATTGCTCCATTAATTCCCTTTTTTAAGGAGGCTGTTTGATTAGACTCAAAATTTTGCTTCACTTATTTTAAATGTTTTTGTGTTCTTGACAAACTTTTTCACTTCTTGTTTGAAGTCAAGTGCTGACTAGTCTTATCCATAAACCATGACTTTTCTATATCAGCATAGTATGTTTATGTATTCATTAGGCTTCAGAACTTTATCTTTTTTTTTATATTGAGTAAAACTTTATCTTTTTTTTTTTTTAATATTCAAGCAAACACACAATAAGCTGGCAGAAATAAGTGCTTATGTACTTGAAAGGTATGTGTAATATGCAGTTTCTTGAAACATTGCTTTCTTAGAGCAAGAAGCATAGATGCCACGTTTATGTTTTTGTTCTGCCTTCAGCATGAATCAGAAAACAGTTGAAGTGATGAAACATCAGAACACTTATCCATTAGATCATTTTTTAATAGATGTTGTACAGCTGAACAGATCAAATTTGAATCCTTCCTATTCCTAAAAAAATTATCATTAACAGACTGAGATTTATTACCTCTGTGAATAACAATACCTAGAACATATAAATAAAGGTTTTCCATCAAAGCAGATAGTCATCATTTGGGTGAATATTGTTAAGCAAACTGTGAAACTTTCTTGCTTTCCTTTGGTAAAGAATGAAAAGAGCAGTTTTTCTTTTCTTTCGGTTATCAGTAACATTTTGGTTTTTTCATACACAACTTGAAAGATTTACATGTAAAACATGTATCTGTTGCTGGGTATCCAAATTCTAAATTGTAATGGTTTTAAATACCCCATAATAATAAGGGTAGCCCACATTTTGAGCAATTATTATTTTTATAAAAAAAATAATTGGTATATATAAAATATAAAATTCAAATCAGAGGACAAGAGCACCTCTTCTTCCATATTGACTTGCTCTGAGATGTCTGAGATGACTGATGAGATGTCTCAGAGCAAGTCTGAGATGTCTGAGATGACATCTCAGAGCAAGTCAATTGGATGTCCAAGAGCACCTCTTCAAACAGATGTCCAAGAGCACCTCTTCTTCCATATTGACTTGCTCTGAGATGTCTGAGATGACATCTCAGAGCAAGTCAATATGGATGTCCAAGAGCACCTCTTCAAACAGATGTCCAAGAGCACCTCTTCTTCCATATTGACTTGCTCTGAGATGTCTGAGATGACATCTCAGAGCAAGTCAATATGGATGTTCAAGAGCACCTCTTCAAACAGATGTCCAAGAGCACCTCTTCTTCCATATTGACTTGCTCTGCATGTAAAAGTCTGAATATGGTTTTTAATAGCTTCTTTCATTTCAGACAAAGCTGCTTTCTTCTCGTCTTCTTTTTTCAGGTCTGGTTGTTTCATGCTCATACCAGTGTCTTGCAATTCTTATATCTCTATCAGGATTCATGGCTATAAAATATAAATATATAAAATATTGACTTCTCTCACTAAACCATTTTTTCAACAAACAAGCATAACTTATGCAATTATTCTGAATTAAAAGTAAATTACTTGTACATTTACACAATACTGAACAAAATGAAGCTTGGCAAATTCGTAATTTGTATCCTTTAATCCATTAAAAGTCCAAAATGCTCATAGTTTACTTTTTTCATTCATTATTTTTCACTCTGGCTCTTTTATTACTGATTATATTAAGCATTGATAGTATAGAAGCATCGTGTGACACTTTTTTGGTATTACAATAGAATTCACCTCTTAAATGTTGAAGTAACTTTTTCATTTCTCTTGCTGAGCATTGCTTTTTCTTTTTTGTGATTTTAATGCTAAAGCAACACCTTACTCCAAACAACTATAGTCAGCCATTTTCAAGATTTACTTTGAGATGCATATTGCATCTCAAACTAAATCTTGAAAATGGCTGACTTAATAGTATATGACTTAATAGTATATGACTTAATAGTATATGACTTAATAGTATATGTTTTTTTTAAATAATTGGCAATTGTTTTAAAAATGGCACTTAACATGTTTTGAAAGTAAACTTTTCATATATATATGAGTCAATTAAAAAACTCAGTTGTTATATAAGTTTACTATTTTAAATTATTAATAGTTAATAAAAATAGAATAACAAATTTTTGTGAAGAATTTTGTGAAAATAAAACACAAATTTTTGTTAAGAACAAATGATATTATTAATACTTAAACAAGTGCGGTAGTGGTGCAGTGGTGAAGTGCTCGCTTCATAAGCGAGAGGTTCCGAGTTTGATCCCCACCACATCCCTGGTAGTACCGCGCTCAACCTGTTTCCCCGCGCAACGACCTTGTTCGTCAAGGTTGGTGTTTCGGAGTTATAGAGTTTAGAGAAGGTTTATAACCACAACTAAGTAGCCTCCTTGTCTATCATGGCTTTCTCAGCCTTGAGGAGGTAAATTAATAAAATTAAAAAAAAGATAAGTACCAGTATAACCAATTTGATACAAGTATCACATGATCTCGATATTGGTATTGCTTGGTATTGATATGTCAGTTATCTAGTGTCTAGTAGGAGAGGTTGAAGAAATGGATTTTCATATGCTGCAAAAACTCCAAAATCAGTTGATTTTAAATAATGAAATAAGTCATATTTCTTTAATAAAAATCAACTGATTTTGAAACAGTAAAAAAATAAATTGAGAATAATATTTTATTTTCGTTAGCACATTGTTTATACATCTGCTGTAGCCACACTGTCTTTTGGCAATTTACATTTGTGTTACAATAAATGTGTGTTTTAAAAATAAAATGAAATCAAAATAGTAGCAGGATAGTTCTCAATATATTTTAACATAACAACAAACATGAATTAACTAAATAACACTGTAGTTCACTTAACCCCAATTTTGGATAAAATTACCTATTGTTTATTTACTTAACCCTTTCAATGCTAAGTAACCAATTAGACTCAGTGTCAGTCACTTATGAAAGGTTGTAAAATTTAAAGATGATTTAAAAAAATTTTTTTTATACGTTTTCATTTAATTTAATTTACTTTTTTTTAAATTGAAAAGTTAAATTTACGAAGAACATTAATGTTAGAAAATAGGTTTTCAAATGCAAGTAATATAAATTTGTACAATCCTCAAGATAAATAATACTTGTGATGGTTATTGTTTGAAAGCTACAAAATCTCAAAATTAAAATTACTTCATGTTGTATCTAAATAAAGTGTTGCTAGCAACTTTTTATATTTCTTTTATTTTGCATTAGGTTTGCATGCCATCAATTAAAGTTGTCAATGAAGAGAATAAATCTTCTATGAATGATGTATTAAAAGGTTTATCTAATGTTAAACTAAAAAATTCAAATATATGTCGGTATGTAAATTATCAACATGTTTATTTTAAAATATATTTGTATATTGGAGCTAATATATAAAGTGAACTATTTCTACTGGTATATTGGTTATATATATATAAATAAATAATGTTAGGGTGGTAGATTAGGTAGAATTAGTTACATTTTCTTCTATTTTAAGAATTACTAGTTAACTAAACAATCAAAACAAAATTACAAAAAGTTGAAATGTTTATCATTTATCCTAATTTATTTTAAACAATTTTTAAAAATGCTAAAACTAAATTTATTCAACTGAATAAGTAACTAAAACTAAAAATCCTTGACACTTAATGTGTTGAAGAAAAATCCTGTATGCTGCTTTTACCTTAATATCACCAAGCTACCATGTTATTCTTTTAAGAGAATTACTTGCATCTTAAATTTCTTTAAATAAATCACTAAGCTATCATGTTATTTACTTAAAAGGATTACTTGCATCTTTAATTTCTTTAAATAAACCATGAGCCTTGACTCTCTTTTTTACGGAAAAAAATGTATGAATCAAAAAAAAAAAGTCTAATCAGTTATTTATACCAAAGATCAATCCTAAAAAGTTTCTGTTTGGCTTCATCAGCAAATATTTTATTAATTTAAGAAAACTTCAATAGCTATCTCAGAGATATTAGATCACTTATTTGTGATTTTGTGGGTAAAGCTAATGAAAACTGTTCTTGAATGTATCCATCTGATAAGGCAAACATAAAAGATTACAAGTCTTCGAATGTTATTTGAATTAGTTGAGTACCTGCTGAGTAAATATTGATAAACAGTTCTCTATAATCCTCTCATTAATGTACTCCTTCTAATTGTTGCATTTAAAACATTTGTTTCTTTAATATTTTCACTATTTTCATAGAAAGATTTGTGTCATTGTATCTTATTATAAACTTGGATCTTACTAATCTGGCCCAATTGTTTTAAAAAATGTTTGAAAAGCTGAATATCAGGTTCATATGATGGCACAAGTGTGAGTGAACAGACTTGTTTTTATTTGTTTATTTTTCATATTGGAGCTATTTACTCCACTTTCTGTGTTCCATTATGCATTAACAAGTTAAAAAAATTGATGTTTTTTTTTTACCATGCCTATAAGAACCGCCCTAAAACATACGTATATAGCTAAGAATATTCAAAACATAGTTAAGATAAAAAAAAGTAGTTGTTAAATAGATCACCATATCAGTCTTAGTTAGGAAGGTGTTTAATTGCACGTCTTTATATTACCTTGCGATTAATACTTTATTTTGACAATTAGATCATGGCTGTTAACATGTTTTAAAAATTTGAACATTAAAAAAACTGTGCTAAAAAAACTTATCTAGACTAAACGTAGAAGTAAAATAAAAACAAATAAACAGGAACACAAAAAAAAAAACATATAAACAGCAAAAAAAACTTTAAAAACGGAAACACTAAGATTATTTAAATCAAGTTTTAATTACGTTTGGAATAAAACTTTGAACTTTTTTATATTTGCAAATTTTTATATAGTATCATAAATAAAGTAACAACTTTGGTTGTTTAAATAATTGTTTAAAAAATACGCGCATTTAATTGAATTTATAGTTTGTTTTTTTTAACTTATTTAACCATAGTAACTTTCCATACAAATGCACTATAGTATATACTTACGCATTTTAAAAAAATAATAATTTAACTTTAATCACTCTAATAAAAAATTTATTAAAAAGACAATGCTTGTTTAATGTAGTTGTTTATAAAATTTATAAAAAACATTTTTTTAAGATGAAAAATTTATATTCATTCATTTTTTTCAACAAATTTTTTTTATCTTTTTAAGTGAATTAATTTTAATTATTTTTATATAAAGTCAATTAAAAAGACTATCGTTATCTAAAATGTTATTTTAATAAACAGTCAAAATGAATTTATTTTTAAAAAACATTGTTTATATGATAAAAAATGCATACTTGTTTGATTAATAACATATATACATGAGTATTTCAAAAATAACATAATTTATATGAAAATATTTTAAATGAAATATTTTTTTTGATATTATTTATTTTTAAGACGTAATTAAAAATCTTTTTTATTTCGCACGTTTTTGATATGTAAAAAGCTGTGGTTAAATTGTCAAGACAAAGTATTATTCATGTGGTCATATAAAGATGTGCAATCGCACACCTTCCTGACCAAAACTGCCATGTAAATTATTTTTAAAAAATATTAGTCTAAATTAAAATAACTTACTGCATACAAATAACAACTTGCTGCAACAAAGTACCTAAAAAAGTACCTGCGTACCTATGTACACAGTATCGATAAAACCTTTATCATAAAATACATATTTATATATCCTTACTTTGAAATACATAGAAATATAAGTTCTATTGTAATTATATTTATTTAATCAATTGCATTATTATTGGTATCCTTAAGGCTGATGTTGTGAAGTTAAATATTTAATATCCAGTTTTAGTTTTATAAGAAATAAGTAAACGTCTCTCTTTTCAGAAATATTCAGGCTGTTTCTCTCTTTAATCATATTATGATTAACAGCATTAGTGCCTGTTTCTACTATATATGAGGTAGGGAAAGGTATCAATAACTTAAATACATGTTTCCACATATTTTGATACAAGAAAGGCATTTTTATTATTTTGTCATAAGTTCTCACATCCACCATAAGTTCTCACATCTACCATTATTTCATTTAAAAAGGCTAGAAGAAACAAACTCTGACTTAAAAATTCCCTGCCTTGGGACTCTTGGTTGAGTAAAGGCTAGAATTGGTGTCTCGATAAAAATACTCATCTTGGGCAGATGTTGACTGCATCCAGCTACTATCTTATAGGAGGCCTCCTACGCAATGACTTCAGGGGTAAGCAGAATAATTCTCTTAACCAGCCTTGGTTCTAATGCCACTGACCCTGCTGGCACTTAAGTCTATAATTTCTGCATTTCTTAATCTCTTATTCAGATAGTTAACTTTGTGACTCGTTTTCCTGACAACTCTAATCATTTACCTTCACTTCTTGACTTGTGCCTGGTCTCTTGTCCTAGCTTGTGTTAAGTTTCTCCTTTTTTTCCTTTAGGTGGTTCTGACCATGCAATGATCTCTTTAAATCTTTCATATCATACTTCCCTTCTAGACTCATCCTATCATCGTACTACTTATTACCACGCTTAAGCTGCATGGGATTCTTTTCATGTCTTTCTTCATCATGATGTTCTTTAGCATGATATCTATTCCCTCTCAGCTGAAAAATGTGCCTCCTACATAACCTCCTAGATTCAGGCAGGAATGGATGCTTCACTATCTTGTGCAACTGCTATATCTAATCATAACTTTTTTTTAAAAGAACAATTCGAGAACAAATAGCTATTTATTATTGCAAGAAATTGATGTAAAAATGGTGCTGCCTGATGCTAAGTTCCATTATTTTCAGTTCATTTAATCTTGTATCTTATCACAGAAGTTATGTTACAGAGACTTTTAGAAAATCTTCAACAATGTTGTTAACAATGGTAGGAGATCTCTTATGTTGTAATCTCTCATACATGGGACTGATCTTATTACCTCTCTAAGGATAAGGCAGAACTATTTGCAAAGAACTTTTCTCCTAATTCGACTCTAGAATCTTATGGCCATTCTTTTTCTTCCATTCCAATTAAAAAGTTTAACCCATTGTTAGACATTCAAAATGTGGTCCAGACAACATTCCATCATAGTCTTACAAAAATGTTTTCCAGAACTCTCTTCAATTCTGTTTAAACTATTTAATAAGTGCTTGACTGAGTCTTTTTTTTCTTGCCTGCTGGAAAATGGCATATGTTGTTTCAATTTTCAAAATCTCAAGTGAACATTCTGACCTCTCCAATTATTGTCTGATCAGTCATCTTTCTGTCATTAGCAAGGTCTATGAGTCTTTGATAAACAATTTTCTCACATCCCATCTTGAGCCAAATCATTTTTTAGGGTTTTCAATTCTCTCGCTTTACGGCTGACTTGTTAACTGCTGTGACTGAAAGATTTTATTGTGCATTAGATAGGGGTGTAGAGGCTAGGCTATTGCTCTTGACATATCTAAGTTTTCGATAAAGTTTGGCATGCTGGTCTTCTCCATAAGCTTGTTTCATATAGTGTATCTGGAAAAGTTTTTGAGATTATCAAATTGTTTCTTTCTAACTGCTTTAAAAGTCTAAAGCTCTAAACTGCCCTAAAGTCATCCTTAAAGGCCATCACTCTTCTTTATTTCCAATAACTTTTTGGGTACCTAAAGGTTCTATCCTTGGTCCTCTTTTGATTTTTATCTTCATTAATGACCTTCCCGACAATCTTACATCTAAAGTAGATCTTTTTGCTGATGACTCAACTTTATACTCCTGTCTTGGCAAAAAGTCTTTTCTTAAAACACATAGAACAGGCAGTTGATCTCAACTTTATACTCCTGACTCAACTTTATACTCCTGTCTTGGCAAAAAGTCTTCTCTTAGATCACTTAGAACAGGCAGTTGATCTTGAATCTGATCTCACTTCTGTAACAGATTGGAGCTCACAGTGGCATGTAAATTTTAACTCCAACAAAACTTAGTTATTTACTGTAAACAACTATCACAATACTGTTGATATTTCTTTTTTAATGACTGGCAACTCTCACTGAGTTCTATTCTTTACGTCTTCTTAGATAATTGTTTACTACTAACCTTTCATGGAAACCATATATACAATCGATTGCCTAATTAGCATCTGCTAAGGTTACTTCTCTTTATCTTGCTTGCCATTTTCTCTCTCTCTTGATTCCATTCTTTACCCCTAAAAATCTCTCATTCGTCCCTGTATGAAATACTGTTATCATTTGGGCTCGCTCTTCTAATAATGCTCTTTCTGTTCTAGACAAGGTCCAAAAATGCATTCTAAATATAGTTGGACCTGCTCTATTTGCTAAGCTTTCTGCTAAGTTCCTTCTGCTTAGCTCTCTCTGTTAAGCTCTTTCCCATTGTTGTAAAGTTACATCTCTTTCTCTTTTCTTCAAATACTATTATTGTTACTGCTTAAAGGATTTATCATCTCTACTTCCATCAACTAAAACTTCGCTTGACTTTTCATTCAGTTAAGTCTCGTTCTTTTAATGTATCTGTCCCTGCATGCTCTAAAAACTTTTATTTGTCTAGTTTTTTCCCCTCACTTTAATGCTTTGTAACTTCCCCAAATTCATGTTTTCCTGACTTATACAATCTTCAAATTTATAAATCTTTTATCAACCCTTTCTTTGCTCTATAACTATTCTTTTTTTGTAGTAACTCATAACTTAATAGTGGTTGCTTGCAGCCTTGTTGTGAGTGAATCAGAATTAAAAATTCAAAAAAAAAAAAAAAAAATTCACAAGCATGTTTTTTTTATTTTAGGATAATTTGTTAAGTTTCCTCAATTTTTCTATAAAATAAAAATATTGATTATTTAGAGATCTGCAAATTACAAATGTTTTTGATATACCGATGATTCGGTATTGATACATTTTTAAGATATGTGCTTTTCAATTATATATTGTTATTTTTGTCACTACTGCAGTTATATGAAAGCAACCATTTTTTGTTAGAAAAATTGTAAACTTTAAAAACAGATCTTTTTATACTAAAAAGTTGCTACCTCTCACCAAAAAATCTCTACTGTCCACTGGTGGGCGGCAGGGACAAGGTTGACTACCACTGTTTAACAGTATATTTGGAGATATCTTTTTTTTAAATTTATTTTATGTTAGTGTTCACTTAATTTAGTTTCAGACAACCAGAGGATGGTTAGAAATATTTTAATCTGAAATAATATTTAGATAGTTGTATAAATCGCTTATGAAAGTTAATTTACCTCTGTATCATTGACAGATACATTGTAATTAATACAAGGGTTTAACTCATTTGTCAGTATTTCTTTTTTTTACTTTTGAATAAATATTTAAAACTAATTAATTTTGTTAATATATTAAACTACTGTAGTATTTACTATATAACATGTTATAATGCATAAATATATATATCCTAAAAACCAATATACTAAACTTTTTTTTTTCAGATCACCAGGAGGTACACCATTAAAAAAAAACGATCGCTTAGAAGATCTTTCTAATCCAGCTGATATAATCGCCAAAGCCTTAAGGGAAAAGTTTCAAAATTCTAATATGTATAGATCTCCTGGTAAATTTTTTCAGTACTTACATATAAACATGCTTTTTTTTTTTGTTTTTTTTATGTAGTTAAAAACTAAAGCAACAAAAATAAAAATATTTGTTCCAATATATATATATATATATATATATATATATATATATATATATATATATATATATATATATATTCAAATTTTCCATTTTGTTTATATTCCACTGTTTTTTATTTATTTGTGGATGGATAATATAATGTAGTTTTATTATTTTCTAGAGTTTTTTTATTACTTTATTTTTAAAAATTAATAAAAAACTGAAGTGTGATAATTGATATTTATAAAATTTCTGAAAAATGTTTAAAAAAAAAAAATTCTAGTTAAATTTAAAATAAAAAGTTTTTATTCAATGTAAAAATTAAAGTTATTTTGCTTAAGAAAGTTACAAAAATTCATTTTTTGAAAAAAGATCCATATATTACATATACATAAGAAATTTACAAAAAGTTATTTGTGGAGGAGAATCATTTATTACATATTTTAAAATAAGTTAATAATAAATAGGAAAACCAAGATTAGATTACACGACATAAATGAATTTTACACTATAGTTTTACGCAACAGAAACTAATATTGATGTTTAATATAGTATATGATATCGTATTAAAAATCAATATTTTGTGAATTGTTGTTATTATGGGATAACAGAAACTGATATTGATGTTTAATATGGTATTTGATACCATAATAATACAAAATTTTGTGTAATGGTTTTTAGTGTGATGAGACCTTTTATAAGACCTTAAAAAAGCACTGTACATAAGTGAAAAAAGTACGTGTGCACAAATACTTAAAAGTCTTACTCAAAAATTTGTTCAAAAAAGTGCAAATACTTTCTAAACAACTTATTAAAATGAAAAGATTGTATTTAGTTTAGATATCAATTTGAGTAAAAATTAGTAATTTGTAATTTGTAAATAGTAATTTGTAATTGTAATACTATGTCAAACATAATTATAACAGGTGTTTCAAAAAACTAATGTATAAATTATTATTTTTTGTGGTTTGTTATGTATTCTTAATGAATCGTGTGGGTCAATTTTACCTCCATATAGATCCCCTAACTAATAAATTTTCAAATTCAATTCACTATTTTCCCATATCTCATTGCCTTTTTTAAAAATGATAATAAGTTTTCAAAAAGGTTTAACCCGTTAACAGTCCATGCCACAATATTACTCAAATTAAATGTGGTTCCTAAATGTCCATGTCATGATATTACGGTTTTATGCATCTCCTTATATTTCCTTCTTGTTCATTAGTAAATATATATCTATTTGTCACAAAATTTATTACTAAGTAATTACAGAGCTTTTGTTTCAATAATTCACTTTTACACATGTTCACTTAAATTTTCAATATGACAAATAAGGAAGTTCTTTTAGTGCAAAAATAGTTATCAAAAAGTAAATATTTACTCATGAAAAAATAAAAAATTATACATTTGATGAATCAATAATAAAAAAAAAATTTAAATGAATAATTATCAAAAATGATAATAAAAGATTCAAAGAAAGTGTGTGGTATGTTCAAAGAAAGTGTGTGGTATGTTCAAAGAAAGTGTGTGGTATGTTCAAAGAAAGTGTGTGGTATGTTCAAAGAAAGTGTGTGGTATGTTCAAAGAAAGTGTGCGGTATGTTACAAACACAGTGTATGAAAAGATTTAAGATGTGTAGAATGTAATGTAGGACTTTGTGCAGCTCCATGCTTTTCCAATTATCATACAATAAGTGAATACTAGTGAACACATTTTTAAAATTTTGTGTTTATGTAGTATGATTTATATATTTTTAAACTTGAATAATAACATTTTGTAGTGTTTAATAATGTTAAAAATAGTAAAAAACTTTCTTTCTTTTAATAGTAAAAAATTATGGTTTTAAAAACACAGGACATTTAGAGATCACTTCAAAAAAAAAAGCTGGACTAATAGTAACTGTATTTTAAAAACAACATGTGACTTTTAAAGGGTTAAAATAAAAAAAAATTGCTGATTGACTTTATCATATTTTTTTTCTAGACTTGAGTTTTGAAAATAACTATTTTTCATTTTGCTGCTTTCTAGTTATCTCAAAGGGTTTTGATTAAAACTAAAATTTTTCATTTTTAATGCTACCATTTTTAACTATGACAATGTGAAAATGTGTACCTTAGCATCATAAAGATCATAATTTTATTTATAATTTATTTTATCTTTTTCCAAAAGCATTTAAATTATACTTAACAAAAAAAAGCGATAACAACCAATAAGGAATAAAAGAATTTCTTAGTTATACCATGGAAGTATAAAACAGATGAAAGTTCAATCACATTGAAATGCTTCGGGACTATGCTTGTAAACAAAAAGAAAACGACATTAAAACTGTACTTAAATGTTAATGCAAATATGTTTTAATAATTTAAAAATAGTGTTTTGATAGTTTGCCAATAATATTCAAGTATAAACATTAAAAATAACGATAACAAAATGACAAATAAGAACTTTTTCTTAAACTTTGGATTAAATGAATGGAGTATTACAAGCATGAATGGAATTATGATATACAACTAATAAAACTTTAGGATTTAGTAGGTATAAAAGTAAAAAAAAAAAGATAAAAGATTTAAGGAAGTAAAAGTTGTTAAAAAAATATGCAACAAAAAATCATGTACAGGATCACTTATGTCAGAACAATCATTAGCGTTGATCTTAGACATGATCTATCCAAAACTTCTTTTTAGCATTTATAAAACTTTAATTTAACTATTTTCAATATTTAATTTAATTATCATAAAATAGCCTTTAATTCAATTATTTTCTAAACCCATGATATCATCTTGTAAAAGGGGTTAATAAAATAAATGCTATCCTAAAAACATTTGGGTCAGTGCTACTCTGCAGACCATCACAAATTCTTCATCATACTGTAATATCAGTGTTACTCTGCAGACCATCACAAATTCTTTATCATATTGCAATATCAGTGCTACTCTGCAGTCCATCACAAATTCTTTCACTGCAATAAGAATAAGAATTGCCTTGACTTGTTTAGTTCTTCTTGAACTTGTTTCTTGTTCAATGTTGAACTATATTGTTTTAAAGGTGACAAAAAATATGTTATAAGGAAAAATTTGCAATCATTGTCAAATAGTTACTGGCTTCTCTGGCTAAACTGGCTTGACTGGCTTCTCAGATTTAACAAGGATAAATGAAAAACTAAAACTATTATTTTTACTACACCAAATTCTTACCAATGATGTTTGCGTTGCATTTTCAATAGAAATAAACAATCTGTCTTTAGTAGTTTAAAAACAAATTCTAGAAAAAGATATCAGACTGTTTTTATTTTGTATGCCTAGATAAGGTGTTTTAAATATCTTATCTAGCCATGATAATATACAAGATGCCAATTATTAAATGGCACGCTAAATCTGAAGATAAAAAAAATATTGTTAAACTGAGGATAGTTGAAATTAGAGCTAAATTCCAAAAAAAAATAGGTCTTGTCATAGACCAACCAAGAGTAGGTGGAGTAGCTATATCAAATAAGTTTATCAAACTTTAAACAGCTTTTTTTTTGTGGACCAAATATTCCCCGCATATCCGTTGCAATACTTAGTTTTTATATCAGCAGATTTCCGTTACATGATATATAACGTAGCTTAAAATGTGATAAAAATATTATGTCTGATATTTTATCTGATGGGTCTTATCATAGACCAATCAAAAGTAGGTGGGGTAGGTATACCAAACAAATTTATCTAACTTTAAATTGCGTTTTTTTGTCCACGCATATCCATTGGAATATTTGGTCTTTAGGTCAGCATATTTTTGAAAATGTTACACTATAACATTACATGGTAATGTTACATGATGACGTTACATGCTTTTCTTACTTTTGAGAAAATTTTCTCATTAATAGAAATGTGGACAGTTGGTAGATTTTTTGTATTTAACAATAAGTTAACTATTTGATGTTTAGGTGTTTATTGTTAATGTATTCGAGCGTTTAGTGAACTTTGGTTTAGTATTTAATTTTTGTTTTTTTTATGTTAAAATTTTTATTTTGTTTAAGTTCCCAATAAACTTACAACTATTTTTCTTTGTCTATTTTTATCTGTGAGAATCAAAGTTAAATGTTATTGTTTGTTATATATATATATATATATATATATATATATATATATATATATATATATATATATATATATATATATATATATATATATATATATATATATATATATATATATATATATATACTCATATAGTGTCGCTTTAAGAGCATTTTAATGTAAAAAAAGTCTCTTACGACTACAATTTTAATTACCTCGTCTCTTAAGCTGTTTTTGATTGTCATCGAAATGTCAAAGCAATTAATTTATGCGGAAGTACATTAAATTTAATTGTTTTTTAAAAAATTTTTAAAAAACCGCAATTATAACGACTAGAAAGTTTTTTTTAATTAGTGGTGTTTTTGTTATTGATTTAATAAAAAACATTTTTTAAACATGCGTAAATGTTGCTACATCGACTATCTTATAGCCTGACTCGCAACGGAGTGCTGCTACATCGACTGACAAATAGCCTGACTCGCAACGGAGTGCTGCTACATCGACTGACAAATAGCCTGACTCGCAACGGAGTGCTGCTACATCGACTGACAAATAGCCTGACTCGCAAGGGAATGCTGCTACATCGACTGACAAATAGCCTGACTCGCAAGGGAGTGCTGCTACAACAACTGACAAATAGCCTGACTCGCAAGAGAGTGCTGCTACATCGACTGAGGGTTTGGTTTGGCCAGGCAGTCTATCAATTAAAAAAAAAAATTTAATTTTTAAAACTTTTTCTGGTCTGGTTTATTAACGCGCTCTTTAAAACTACAGTTTATGGGAAATATTTTTTGATGCTACGCAAGAGACATGCAAGAGTATATATATATATATATATATATATATATATATATATATATATATATATATATATATATATATATATATATATATATATATATATATATATATATATATATTTATATATATATATATGTTTATATATATATATATATGTATATGTATATATATATATATATATATATATATATATATATATACATATATATATATATTATTGTAAATATATACACACACACACACACACACACACACACACACACACACACACATATATATATGTTTTATTAATAATAATAATAATAATAATAATAATATATATATATATATATATATATATATATATATATATATATATATATATATATATATATATATATATATATATATATATATATATATGTTATTAATAAACATGTTTTATTAATAATAATAATAATAATAATAATAATGATAATATATATATATATATATATATATATATATATATATATATATATATATATATATATATATATATATATATATATATTATTATTATTATTTTTTATAAAACATGTTTCCTTAATAACAAAGTAATATTTCAATATTAATATACACACATTTTAACAACCAATTACGCTTTTTGATTGCAAGACATAAAAAAAAAAAAAATATTTTATCATTTCTCCTTTTAACAAAATGACTTTAGCTATTCGGTCTGGCAAACTTTTAATATATTTATTACTGCGGTCTTAATTTTTTCATTGTGGTGCCAATGATAAAGTAATTTTTCAATCAAATCCTTTTTGTTTGTTGAAACCTCAGAAGAGATTTCCTCTTTGAGAATGTTCCACAAATTCTTAATCAGATTCAGGTCAGGAGAGTTCCCTAGCCTATCTAAAACGGAGATATTTTTTGTTTTAAGAAAGTTTGAGATTCTTTTTAAGAAAGTTTGTGATCCTTTTAGCTTTGATTCTTTTAGCATGGAGCACTATCACTATCACTATTTTTGGCTGGATAGCTCAGTTGATTAGAGCATAAAACAAAAAGTTTAAACCCGGACAGTTGTAAGATACGAGTTCAAATCCTACCACCGCCAACTCAGCGCTTGAGTGGTAC